GTCCATGACTGTGAGTGGGGTAACACCGCCATGCTCGGCGGTGCTACCCCAAGGGGTGGCAAAATGGATAAAGCCGCAATGATGATTCACTCAGCTCGGAGAAGAGCTTTAGTTAGGCCGCAAACGTCGTCTTTTTAACCTCACGTTTGACTTCACTGGATGTTTCGAAATAAACGTGAATTTGTCATGCTTTGTATGCATATTGTCCACAACAAACAGTCTGATCTGTGACAAACTAACAACCAATTCTTGTGTGTCTTATATGAGTTTGAGTTACTATTTCAGACAGCAGTAACGCTTCCAAGGGTGGCTGTCACCGTAAGGCCGATCTGTGGATAACATCGCCATCAGTGGCGGTGCTACCCGCACATTTTTTGGAGGACGAAAAATGCAGGACTTGTTTTCGACGTCTGTAAAGTAGCGAAATTTTATAATGGAGCGCTGGAAACTATGCCAACATGTAGGAAAACATTCCTACTTTCACATGAATGCAAAAGAGCTTCGTTTTTACTACGCATATCAGCTCGGTGAGCAGAAATGCTTCAGGTGGCGGTGCTCCCCCCGCTTCCCCTATTTTCAACACCGTTCACAGTTGAGCGCTATACGGAACCTAAAAATTCTTTTAGATGGGTAGGTAGGGGAAACACACCATCTGCCGATCGGTGAAGACTAGTTCCTGAGCTGGCCTGAAATGTGAAAATATCCCCCGACTTTGCGCTCGTAGATGGGACGGGACAGGGTATATCACCGACACCTCAACGCGTCCCAACCACTAACCCCCCGCATCAGCTGTGTGAGAAGAGGCCGAACAGCCGCCATTATTATCACGTCGCCACAAAGGTGAACATCGTCGGGTTCGCAGCCATTCTACTGTCGCTTTCCATTCGAAGCTGAATGGGAACATGACCTACGGCGTCAACGGCGCTGTGCTAGAATATCGTCGATGATGAACACCGACACAGTGTTGAAACACAAATGAACTGCGCGATTTGAAATAAAAAGAAAGAAAGAAGAAGAAAGAAAGAAAGAAAGAAAGAAAGAAAGAAAGAAAGAAAGAAAGAAAGAAAGAAAGAAACTGCGTTGCCTCGTATTCTGTTGCATAGTGATGAGCCATGGATTTTTAAAAGTTGGCTTTGAATTGTAGTCGAATCTTACATTTACAGTTACACAATAATAAGTTTTTATGCGACTCTTTGGGCCTGTAAAATAAACAAAATGTAGCCTATCTCATACCACTTTTATAATAACTGAACGCAGGACAGGGAAATTATTCGATGAATTTGGACCCATAACACACACGACCCTCTGAATCAATCGACTGAGTGATTGCGAGTCTATATATTATCAGCGCACATAACAGACATTACCACGACTGCATAGCTATGGCGTACATACGACGCTTCGCATATACTGTTTGAGCTAGCAGGCCAAACTAAACACCGAAAGCTCACGTCTCGTATGGAAGGATCACCAAATAACACGTTACAGACTTGACATTAGTTGCGCACACAGGATAACATTCACCTTCCAGCGATGCTGTAATGAATAGGGACACCGGACATTGGCGAAAATAAAAGAACTAATTGAGCTTTGGCGTGCCGAACAAATAACACAAAAGTAAAGGTTTGTATTATAGAACCAAAGAATGTCAAAATATGCGATCTGTGACAATAGCGATCTCTCATAAATGCAATTATAATAAGGAAGAAAGAGATCAACTGACAACAAAATAGCTTAAAATCGGTCATCTAAGCTTATATCAGTTTTGATTTGTGTCTTATATGTTGCTCTTTTTCCTTTGTAATTGACTCAGTCTGCCGTTTGCAAAAATAGCAAAAGATGTGTCTAACTTTCTCAGAAGTCTGCACAGTAAACATCGATGTCTAGGGAGAGCCCACCGACACCTATGGAGATACTGAGAATAAATATGCCCATGTGCTGCTAGGGAATGTGAATTGTTTCATAATGTATACAGTGGTGGAGACATAGCGACATAACTCATAAAGTTTCGACACAATATCAGCAAAGACAGATGCACGATTAAGTAACGAGCTCAGTCTGTCATTTTATGCGGCATGTTTAATTTAAGAAGCCAATGTAACAATGCTTCACAAACACAAACAATCGAACAGAATATCTCCAATTCAGAGTACAATATTCCAGAGGCGAGAGAGCAGCACTACACACGACTAGAGCGCCACCTGTTTATACAACGGCACAAAGTGTTGCATTCTGGTAAAATAGAGACCTTACGCGAGGTTCGCGAACGTTTGCGGAGGTACGCCGCACGTGCTGATAGACAAAATAGAGACTACACGCGATTTTCGCCGCCCGCCGGATCACTACGAAGGCATGAAGGCTGTGTTCGAATCTACCCGCAGTGTTACATTGATGCGCACAAGACGACTATAGCGACAAGTTGGTGCAGGAACACTCTCAGATCAGGCCAAGTACGGATGCACCGACAAGTGGCCAGTGGAGGTCTTACACAGTTGCAATCGATAGGCAGGCGAGGATGCAGTCACAATCGGTACCGAGATCGGCCGTAGCACCACCTCTAGCGGTCGCTGTTGGGACTCAATAGAACTATTTGGCCACGGGTGGCGCCACTTGCATCTGTACCCACACACATAAATAACACAACAGGGTGAGCACTATTCTCAACTCCATGTGGTCTCACTTTTCCATTTAGCAGCACATATATCTACTGATCGGCAAAAGGTGCGTGTGCGCCCATGGGGATTACCACAAACTACCAAGCCGTTGTGTGCGGGAATATTGTTCAATGTTCAAAAGGTCACATTCTCTCCACAAATAGTGCACTTTTATCAAAACTGCATTTAGATTGGAAGATTCCTCGAAATAGACAAAAACTAGTAAAATTGATCCACGAAGCAGCACTACCCATAAACGTACAAGTAAGTGATAAGAGAGCAAAATACATTTCTAGAACCACGGTGCGAATAAACGGTTGTCAACAGCTGAGGTTTACATATATTGATGTCCTACGACAGATAGCATAGGTACGCACGGAAGATCTTGTGTTGCAAAGCGTAAAAACTCGGAAACCCTCAACCTCGCTGACATATTGATGCACACATGCAAGCCTCGATTTATGACTTTTGAGCAGTGAGAAAAATAGTTACGCCTTCAGAAATCGCTTCACCGCTTGCAACCGTTTCATGATAAATCGATTCAACAGCAATTTTTGAAGAGGCTGCATTTAGTTATGAAATCTGAATGCGACGCGATGATAGCCATACAATCAGGAACGGAGGCTGGGCAGTTAATAGAAACCGGACTGGCTTTATCACCATTATTTCGAGTCATATGCATAGCGAATTTCTTGAATAATTCATGAGAGAGCCACATGTCTAGAGTCCACACATCTTGAGCGAACGGGACCCGAATCTCATTAGATCCTTTTCGTTCAACTAAAGCAGTAACCAAACGTGGCGATTCAGGCCAGAGAAGACGCCTGCAAGATTCCTTGAGCGATTTTGGCGATGATTGGTCATCGCATCTTTGGAAGCGTAACTGGCCTTGCTTCGGTACAGATCCTTTTTGCATATCCATAAGTGACTTCTTGACATATTAACAGCTAATCGCAGGTCCGGCTTCTTGGATCACATGCCTTTCGCGTCATATCAGCGTCACGTTATGTCATGCATCTTGCGATCCTCTGCTTTTCACATTTCTGAATCGTCACGTTGACGTATAATCGCCATCCTGGCTTACAGCATCGTCACCCGTGTCTTCGATCCTGCTATCCTCTGCCGCAGCACATCACTCATCTCCAGCTTGCGCGGCCCAGAGGGCGTGCTGGCCGCGGAGCCCAGCCTCTGCACCCCTCGAGCCAGACGAGAGAACCCTACCAGGACAGTATCTCGAGCTGGGCTGGTCAGCGGAGACAGAGCTGACCCGAGCAGGGACAGCCCACCAACTGAGGGTCGATCACTACTAACCGTGATGCTGGGCACCTCTGTGTTAGCTGAGGGACCCGTGGTGCCTGACTTCGACTCAACGGAGATGCTTGATGGTGGTTCTATTTCCGTTGGCTCTCTTGAAGAGCTCGCTGATTCACCGGAGGCGAGACGTGGTAATTGCGAAGATGTGGCTGTTGTGACCACGTCTGGCAGCTGCGAGGATTCGAGTGAAGAGTTTCCCTTCGCAAGATCTTGTTCGGGACCGTTCACTTGGTGAGACGACGTCTTCTCTGGCGTCACTCTCGACTGGTCTGCATTTCCTGCACATTGCGTGCTACCCTGGCCATCTGCATCGTCTTCATGTCTTGTGCTTTTCCTTCCATCCACCTCCACCTCCGGGTAAGTCTGCTCCGTCGCATTTTCACCTGGCTGCCCAACAGCTGGAGGTGAAGTCGGACCTCCCACGGGACAGGCGATGATACCCGCACTGTCGATCAGCATGTCGCCCGACTCTTGCGAGGGCTCTTCAGGCGAGTTTCTCTCCGTCTGAGACTGCTGCTGTGAGTCTGACCACAGTGGGCGAAGACGTGACGGCAGCCACGCGGCAGCAGCGGCCACACTGCTCGCAGCACGAGTGCCGGCCGTGCGGAGCAGACTTCCCGGCTGCGGGGTTTCGTCCAGCCAGCGGAGCGGTGTTCGTCCAGCACGACGAGAGCTTGCAAGAGAGGCGCGGGACTTGCGCCGAGCCAGGCGACCCTCAGATAGGGGAACTTGGTGGCCAGCAGCTTCGCAAGCTCCAACCAGCGCCGCAGCCAGTGCGCGAAGTGTTTCTGCCTGATCTTCCGCAGAGCCCGCCGTCACGGCCACGTTGTTGAAGAAGCGCAGTGGCGTGGCACGCAGCTGGTGAAAGTACCCAGACTCACCGCTGATTTCGTACCACAGACGTAGACAGGGGGTTCGAGGAGAGCGCGACAGGCGGGAAGCCTCGACAGGACCGAGTTCGATGGACTGGAGGTCACATAGCGGAACGCGCTGGTAGGAGACGATGCGGTCTGTGTCGTCATCGTAACATGCCGCGTAGTAGGAGTCCGTGGTCAGGATGAGAATGGTGTCCAGCTCCTGGTCGCCGTCAGTTGCATCGGCGTCTGCGTCGATCAGACCCCAGGTGCCCATCACGACGGAGCCGTCAGGAACCAGCAGACGCTGCGAGTCGTCGAGCAGTTGCCGGACGCGTTCCACCGCCGCCGCCTCATCGGATTCGTCGCCGTCGGCTTCGTCTTCAGGCTCTGGCTCCACCGGCGGGCGGCCCAGGGAAGCCTCGATTGCCGCCTGACGACCCGCGTCGCGGAAGCGGTTCAGGTAGTACCGGTTGGCCGAGTTGACGCCATCGCGCATGAGCCCAGTCCAGCGACGTTCTCCAGTTCTGGTGAAGTCTCCTTTGAGCGCACCGGTTCCTGCGTATTGCCGACTGAGAGCGTCGCCGGTATCTGCCCACATCTGCTGGAAGGTGTTGCGAAGAGATGCTGGCAGCGCACCGGTCCCAGCGACGCCGAGTTTTGACAGTTGCGTTTGCAGCATTGTTCTGGCCAGCGCTGTCTGCACGACGTTCGTTCGGTCGAGACAGTCGATGCAGCTTACGCGGAACACGGCAGATTGTTGACAGAGCGCTCCGCGGCGATCGGCCCATGTGAATCCGGTGGCTGCGAGGTCGTCTGAGACAGCCGCCAAGAGAAGCGCGACGTTTTCGAAACGCAGTCCTCGGCAGTGATCGTGAAAGTCAAATGCTGTGAATGTTAGACGCTCGGAGTCGTATGCAAGCGCCTGGTCCAGATAGGCATCCGCAATCACCTTTTCGCGTCCCGTTTGGTCGACAAGACTGACACAATGTACGGCACCGTAGCGTTCAACCTCAGCGTCCACGTGGCGGCGGAAGGCGGCAGCCGTTTGGACAGGGTCTCGCTCGAGTCTCGGCGGTGGTCGGTACCGGTAACCAGGCTGCGCCCAGAACACGGGGACCGAGCCACGCACCTGGACAAAGCTGAGATGGTGGTCTCCGCTCGAAAGGATCTGTTCAGTCTCGACGTAGTTGGCCACCCAGCCATCCGGATCCACGCCGCGTCGGCGATAGCGCGTGCCGGCCCGATGGCGACTGCGGCGAGAGATGAGGCTTAGGCGAAGATGCGGGGGAAGTACTCCGTCCGGGTCTCCGCACTCGGAGATGTGTACGTAGCCCTGGACGATCGGCTGCACCCAGGCATCTGCTGCGGGCGGAGGCAGCGCAAGCACCGCCGCAGCCGCGGGGGCGTTCCAGAAGAATCGGTCATCCGGTTCCGCTCCCTTCAGCCTCCTCGCCAGGGAGTTTGTCAGATCACCGCCGACGCTGAAGAAGAACGAATCCGAGTCGTTGAAGAGTTTCAGAAGCTCCTCGAGCACCGGACTGAGTGCGGCGGCGGGTCGACGGTTCCGGCCGGGGACGCGCTCCTTTACCTGAGCGCCGGCTGACTGTGCAGCTGCTGCTGTCGCCGCTGCGGCTCGCGTGGTGACGGTCTTCATCAGTCCCCAGGTACGTGCCAGTCCAGCGCCGCGTCCAGCCGCGGCAGCCGTCCCTCCTCCGCCTCCTCCGGTACTGACAGACGCGCCCGGTGTGTGCTTCACACACGCAGTCAGCTGTGTGTCAGGAGTATCAGGCAGCGAAGACGAGCTCAGCGGGAGGAGAGTCACCTTGGTCACCTTCCTCACCATGTGTCCATCAGGCAGCCTGCCCACGGGCACCGACTCCCTCACGAGTAGCAGGTGATACTCGCCACCAACACTCGCCTGGACGCGTCCTACAAACGCCTGGCACACACCCAGACAGACTGGATCATCGGCAGCGGCCAGGTCCCACGCGGATCGCGCCGTGACGCTACCATCCGAGCGTCGCCACCAGAGGCTGTGTTCGCCGCGAACGAGGATGTAGTAATCGGGCGTTTGGACCACCTCGATCGGAGCTGGCACATCGTCTGCAGCTGGGGCGTTTCGTAGGGCGGCGGGGACGCCCTGAGAGGACGTAGGAGGGTCATCAGCGTCAGGAGCCGGGCCTGAGGTGCCAGCTGGTGCAGATGGTACCATGGTCTCCGAAGAAGACTCAACAGTCATGGTGAGGTCTGGGTCGGCGGTTTTGGCCTCCGTGGCAGATGTGCCTTGGCGATACGAGATCTTCGGGTTTCTAAATACACTTTCCAAGCTATGCACTGTAGATACCTACTTCAACGATCACTTATATGCAGGATAAGCAACAAATAGTATAAATATAACCAGGTGGATATTCTATAACATAAACAACAGCGGATATCGCTAAACAATAGTTCCACGACAGAGGAACCTATCAGACGCAACTATATCAGACAACACTTGACCTGACTAAAATAATGCGTTCGCCAAGGTTTTCGGGTAAACGACGGCTTCAAGGAATACAGCGATTTTCATCAGAGATTCACTAAGATTGGTAAGACGCCGATTTGCGTCCCTTTCAATAACCCCTCGATCGATATCTAAGTACGCCTCTACTGTTTCGTGCTTTCCCAACTAGCACCCTACGTGCTGTGAGACATATACCTATATTTCTTCTTCACACACACGTCCTCACTCCTTCGGTTTCACGCGTTAAGTCCCAGTCTCCCTTTCCGTAATCCTCCTGTTCTTGCTTGAGCTACGCACAGTATTCCCCCATTTGCTAGTGTGACAGTTCCTTGCCGTAGCCCTCAGCGGGCAGAAAAAGACCAGAAAGTTCGGTCAGCTGCCGTGCAGGCGACTGAGACTGATATTCACAACACCGAACGCCAGAGAAGACGCCATGTACGTATCACGTGATGGGAGTGAGCACCGGAGTCTCATTTACCGAGAAGTGGGCGGCGAGTCTTGGCACGGACACCGGACGAATCAATCGAGGTCCTCGTCATCGAAAAGATCACCAAAGTCTGCCGGAACCGAGGCCAAGGGAAGAGTTAGAAAGATGAAAGAAGTGTTTCATTGGTGGACAACAAATCCTTCAGATGTACTTGTAACTAAGATAAAAAGAATTTCACATACATCAGGATTAAGTTTGGACAATTACTCTGACCATAATAAATAATTACGCTTTTTGGGTATTGATAAACGACATGAAACTTATGACAGGTCAACAAGGCAAAGTTCACCGAGAAGTAGGCATCTAGTCTGGCTCATCTGACAATTACTGAACCCAGCGTAAGCACTAATGATCAATTAGGCTGGAGCACATTAAATTCGTCTGGCTATTTTTCCACCCCGAATCAGGTTTGTTAGGCAATAAGTTGTCCTACTACTTGCTTGCGTCTAACGCCAAATCTTTAAACTAATTGACAAATGCCCGCAGTGAGGTGAGGCATCCGCTGAGACAAACATATGTGAGCGCCATCTGTCTCTGGGAACCTGGGGTCTGGAAACAATGCTCTACGAAGTGTCAGGATTCTGGGCCAAGTACTCATCCCTGATAGCATGAACTCGGCACTGACAGAAGCCAGCGTTGGGTGCTCAGTACTCACTGTTGGCAAAGTCGGCATGGACCATGGGCTCATTGCTGGCGACGTCTACCACTCCGGCACGATCGGCCGCCGAGTTCTGAGAAAAACACAGTCACAAAAATGAAATAAACACTAATAATTACAAAACATTGGTTACCAGTGGCTGCCTTATGCTTGGCAATGCAGCGTTGTAAATATATGTCATCAATCATTCAGATCATGGCAAATATATTACACAAATATGTCAAATAAGCACAGCCCATAATTACAGGAAATGGAAGGCAGGTCCAGGTTCAGGTATTGATCTTTTGGCCTGCCGCCGACGGCGATATCAGCCGAATGGAAGGCTCATCATTCAGTGGGCAGCTCCAACCTACCTCATCCATGGACACATCCATCAGCTGGTTCACAGGATTGTCTGGAAACATCTCGTCTGCTGCCAGAGGCTTCATCATGTGGACTTCTTTAGAGGGTTATGTGCACCTGGTAGCTGATCCCCACTCCTCAGTATTGTGGCAATCTCCTGATAAATCTGGAACAGAGAGGGAACATCATGAACATCATGAAAATCTGAAACATTACAATGGTTATTATCATGGACAATAACCTTTAACCAAGACTAAATTTCTTTGAATGTAACTTGTGATTACTCCCTCAACAAATTTACCCCGCGTTCGATGTCTCTCGGACGACGAAGATTCTACGGCGTCCGGCCAATCCCGTCCTAGGTCAGCGGGGGCTCGGCTGCGGTTATGGAACGTGATTGGCCGGACGGCGTAGAATCTTCCCCGTCCGAGAGACATCGAACACGGGGTTAAACTCATGGAATCACGTTGCAAACTAAGCACAGGCTTCTTTCATGAAAAGTTAATTCCTTAACTCATGAATCTCCCTGGGGCCTAGCTGCCTGGGCCATTCATAATTTAAAACCACTTTGCCCTAAGAAAGAAACCAAAGAAAACTAACCTTCCAGAGTTCCAGTTCCCTTCATGCCTGACATACCTAAGTGTTAACTAGTGCGGATCTGTAACCATCCCTCATGTGACTTGCCACAGGGTTGGCATTTTTGCCGGCAAAAACTAGTTTTTGCCATTTGCCGGTTTAAACCGGTTTTAACCGGCATAAAGTGGCAAAAACTGGCAAAAACTAAAACAGTCAAAACGCTATGCCTCTACATGCGTTTGAGCAGGACACGTTTTAAGTAGGATTCAGTCAATACAATATGCTTTCAAACAGAAGTGGTATCTTGACCATTTTAGTGTTAAATAGTTCCGTGAGTCCTCTATAATTAACCAATAAGGCGCCTTTTTGGTGAGACAAATGAGAAAGTGCGCCGGTGGGCGGCGAGTATTGAAGAAGTGGGAAAGGGCATCTGCCACTGACTTGTGCACCGGACCCTACGAACCGGTTCCTAACAGTGTCAGTGCCAAATTTGTGCTTAGTCGACGTAGCCGTTCTCCCAATCTGGAAGCGTCACCCCGCACGTGCGCATGTGCAAAATGGACCCCGACCGACTATGCACGACACCCTACTAATCAGTCCCTAACGGTGTCCCAATTTGAGCGCAATCGACCCAGCCATTCTCGAGGTCTGGTCGGAAACGACTCCTGCATATGCTCATGTGCAGAAGCACACCAACAGCGATGCATGAAAGTGCACTTCCTGGTGGACATCTATTGACTACCGACAGACATTTTAAAGGTAGTGTGCCACCTTTGAAAGATTTCCCATTTTATTTTTCCTAGGATAAGAAGCTTCTGTTTTTACCTAATATCACAAAAAAATGGGCCTGGAATAGTGCCTTTTTCGCCTAAAAGTTTATCGGTTTTTCGATATGTATAACAACTGTAGTGGGCTGACCTGCAAACAGGCGTCGGCAACAATCGCGAATGCGGCGCACATGTGACAATAAGCAAAGGTCATTATAGAGTTACGACGTACGGGAATGAGTTATCAGCTGTCTAATCGTAGACAACACAATGTCGAGCCTTAAACTGTAAGCCTGTATTGGTATTGTTTCTTTTATTTGGCTGTCGAACATTATTTATGGTTTGAAATATGATTTTATGTAAAATAATTGATATGAAGAAGCCGTCTCTTAAGTTATGACCCCATTTCACCACACGCAAGTGGCAGAAATGACAATGATCAGCTGACGCATTTTTCTTGGCCGAAGTCAGAGCGCGCGGCCCGACGCACCACCACCGCACCACAAAGTATGAGCAGAAGCCGCGCCCAAAGCCAGGGCCCCGGTAACGTGAGGTAGCCGAGTCGGGGCAGCGTGCGCTGACCCAAGCCGGGGCCGCAGCTTTGGGCGCGGTCTACCGCATCCCCGCGGGCAGCCCCGGGCTATCACATGACACCGGGAGGACGCGCGGCCCCGGCTTGGGTCAGCGCACGCTGCCCCGACTCGGCTACCTCACGTTACCGGGGCCCTGGCTTTGGGCGCGGTCTACCGCACCACCTAACAGGCGTGTTCGAAACCGCAGGAGATGATGATGAACGGGTTTATCGAAACTTGATTGGATGAGCATATCGGTAATAGCGATTTCAGTGTGTGCATTTATTGTTCATAGTGGTGTGAAATGTGGTTGGGGTACGACCGACAACCCGTCGGGGCGAATTTCGCACTGGGGTACTCAAAATTTGAAGAATTTAAGACGTTTCCATGAGTTTTGAAGGTATGGATAAGTTCTAAAAATCCGGTTCTCCTTATCTGGGCCATTAACTCCATACGGTCCAGGAAAGCTGGCACACTACCTAACTAGCACTACCTAAGCATTAACCCGGTTTACATAGCGTTTTTGACGTGGCTCCAGCTTGTTAATTTGGCGATAATTTCGATGCAGTGGTCTTCAAATATTTAGAGGGGATCATTTTGTAAATTGTGAAGCACCATTGGCATCTTTTGCAACATCACGAACGGAGATATAAGCTTGCAACAAACCCTATGTAAACCGGGTTAATGTCTCGCAGCGGTAAACTAGCGAGCCAATGCTTACTGGGTCCCAATGACAGACATGACTTGTATATTTAAACCGATTGCTTTTTAGGCAAGCAACGCAGTTTTGGCCACTTGAGTTTTTGCCAGTTTCTGCCAGTTTTTGCCACCATGGTTTCTGCCAGCCGGTTTAAACCGGTTAAAACCACTGGCAAAAACCAGTTTTTGCCACCCTCTGCCAACCCTGACTTGCCAACTCCAATGCCTGTTCCATGATCTTAGACTACAAAGCATGACACTTCAATTCAGTAAGAGCTCATTTATGCTGAACCCTTCAGCTGGTGTGCAGTGAAGTGCACAGCTGCACAGCAGTGGTGTCAGCAGTCAGCACCCCATGAAATGCTGTGCAGTGTGCCAGCACCTCATTGTTCAGTAAAATATGAATGGAGATAATGATGAGGGGGTCAGTCAGAGTCACCCTTACTGTTACCAGAAAGTAGTAAGTGGTGCACTGACAGATCCAGAAAGGGATTCTGCAGGGGGGGGGGGGGCATACCCTCAAGTTTCTCCAAATAAAAAGTAATCCTCAGCTTAAGATTCCTGGATGATGCACTGCTGTGCAGATTAACAATCTTTTCCAGATGAAAGTTGCATAGCTTCCTTTTTAATCTAAAAAAATCCATAAATATTTGGTGGCTGGTGCCTCTTGAACCTGCTAGGTAGTCAACTTGTACAGCTTGTTGACTCTATTCCCAGGATTTGTAGTCAGTATTGTAGTCATAAGAGACACAAAGAAAATAATAATTGCAAGTTATTAAGCAAGTTGATGTGTATCTTTGCAAATACTAGGTATATCCAATTCACAGGTCAGGTTCTCAGTGGCTGGGAAACCATGTGAAGTGTGGAAGATATTTAATCCATTTTACTTTTTCCACAATTTTACGACAGATCAAACTGAGGCTTTGACATCCGACGTGTGAGAGGATAGCTTCCGCTGTGTAAATTTCACTTATTTCTGGGCCCTATCTCAGCGCCTGACGCTGTCCGCTGAGCGCGCTGGGAGCTAAGGCCTGCCCCTGATGTCACCCAAATGACGTTGTGTACGTAGGTAGGTACTGTGCGGTCCGTGAGCTTGTGATAAATCACAGTTGGAACAGAGGTACTTAACCCGGCAGTTGCTGGGGTATTTCGCCACCCACCGTTTGCTGGGGGGGGGGGGCATTAAACGCCCCCAGCCGATAACTCGAGAACCAATAGGCGGCAGGCGCAGCGAAACGCACGAGGCGGCAAACGAAAGAACGCGACGAGACGCTTCAGATGAGTACTTTAAAGTTGAATTTTGAGGTCACAGGTCAGGTCAAGGTCAGGTCAAACACCTGAAATCAGGCTTTCAGTAGCATGGAATTCAGGACTTCGTAATGGGCGCCTATCGTCATAAACTCTGTCAAAACGGTGCACAATCCATCATATAAGGCCTACAAGAGTGTCAGCTCCATGCAGGGGTCAGTCAAGCATAGGTCAGGGTCAAGGTCAGGTCAACCGGGCAGGCACATATCCCCGAAAATAAAAACTGACATTCGCAGCCTGTGACACATGTTTTATGGGTAATTTGGGGCGTAGAACACGATGGTGACATTCATTTTATCATATGTGTACGTGTTTGGCTAAAAAAGTTCAATTTAAGTAATGCATGTATCATGGGCGTGAAGTAGTCACGAGAAATTGCCAAGATTCAGTGCAAGATTTTGGAAAATGCGGAACGATAATCAATAATCGAAGATAGCCATTTGATTGAACATCGTATTGGCAGTCTAATAGTGTTAAAGGCATGTCTGTATGTCTATTCTGTGATTTTATATGATTTTTTTAATATATGCCGTTTATGGTCGAAAACTCAGAAATCATGATGTCACTAAAACCTCGATATCTCAAAAATTTTCCGACCGATTTTTTTGAAACTTTGTCACAATACACTTCAATCAATTCCCTTACAGGTACCCAAAATTTTATGCTACGCACCGTTTTTATGCTATGGCCCGGCGAAAAAAGTGGGGGCGTTTAACGCTCCCCCCCCCCAGCAACTCGCGGGTTAAGAACCAAGCACAAAGAGAACAGAGGTTTGAGCATGAATGCTGCTAGCGTGCTGCTGGCGCTGGCAGCGCGGCACTCAAGCGTTCTGCGATGACGGCATAGCTTAGCGTCAGTGAAGTTTGTTGATATGGCTATGGAAACCCAATGAGCTGACGCATGCAGCGTTGACGCAGAGCGCACTGTAGTGCTCTGCCGCGGAACACCCTGGTTGAATAGCAAAATAAAAATTTGTTTTGACGAAAAACAGTTTTGCCGCATAGTCGGAGTCGTGCCGCGCAGCTCAAGCTGTGATTCAACAGATTCATAATCAATTCCCATTGACTTTATTTATTATCGACTCACCAGACTCTATGGAAATCCTGTACCCCTTATATTGTTGCAAGATTGAATAGGTACAGTTCAACTGCAATTGAATATTCCAGAATATCGGAAAACGCAACGCTGGGCTTGCGCTGGGCTTGGCCGAGAACAAAAACGTGAATCCCTGGATGCGTCAGTATCGCCTCAATCGTCTCTCAGTCAGTTTCTCGAGAAATAGAAAATATTTTCCCTAGATTTCAGGAAAAATCTAGAGTTCGCATTTGTTTTAGCGACATTGCGATAAACACCGCGCTCGACATCCGGATCATCAGCATCAGGGATAATTTTCCGGCATCACCGGGATCATTTGGTGTTTTAGGCTGACACCGTGCACAACGGACATGACAACGAGTAAAGGAGCCATTAGTGATGCAAAAGCAATATAAAAATGTGACTTACTGCAACGATGGTCCCTACAATACCAAATTCTTATCGGTGATCTCGGAAAATTATCCCTCAGGATGTCGAACGCACGCCTAGTAAAGCTCAAGCCAGTTATTCCTCAGCCAGGGCCTTGCCTCAGCCACGGATCACCTAATGTGATCCGTGCCTCAGCCCATAGGTAGGTGTAGCAACGTATCTCTTTGGTGAAGGATACCTTTCACCAAAGTTTCAGATTGGTGAAGGATCCTTCACCAATCTTGGACAATGCAAGGGAGGGTCTTCACCTACCTATAGGCCTGTTCCAGCGCCTCCAGAAACCTCCAGAAACCTCCAGAAAGCTCTAGAATCCTCCAGAGAGCGTTCCAGCGCCTCCAGAAAGCTCCAGAAAGCTCTCACCAAAGCTCCAGAAACCTCCAGTAGCCTCCAGAGAGTTGGGAGGTCCAACTTTCTCTGGAGGCTCTGGTCTACAATTATGGCGCACATGTGACAATCACGAATGTAAACAAAGAACTTTTGACTGAGAATTTTACAACTTGAATGTAAAGAAAATTACATTGCTATAATTTTGTTAATCTTTTTTACTAAATTTGAAAACAAATTTTGCGTTTCAAGAGAGAACAATCGTCATTCTTTTGGTATCTATGATGCCAATCTCCAGAAATCTCCAGATTGCGTTCCAGCGCCTCCAGTGAAACCTCTGGTAGAGCCTCCAGTCAAGAATTTCTACTGGAGGCGCTGGAACAGGCCCTATGGGCCTGTTCCAGCGCCTCCAGAAACCTCCAGAAAGCTCCAGAAAGCTCTAGGATCCTCCAGAGAGCGTTCCAGCGCCTCCAGAAAGCTCCAGAAAGCTCTCGCCAAAGCTCCAGAAACCTCCAGTAGCCTCCAGAGAGTTGAGAGGTCCAAATTTCTCTGGAGGCTCTGGTCTACAATTATGGTGCACATGTGACAATCACGAATGTAAACAAAAGACATTTGACTGATTATTTTACAACTTGAATGTAAAGAAAATTACATTGCTATAATTTTATTTATCTTTTTAACTAAAATTGAAAACAAATTTTGCATTTCAAGAGAGAACAATCTTCATTCTTTTGGTATCTATGACGCCAATCTCCAGAAATCTCCAGATTGCGTTCCAGCGCCTCCAGTAAAACCTCTGGTAGAGCCTCCAGTCAAGAATTTCTTCTGGAGGCGCTGGAACAGGCCCTATGCTTAGAACTACTGGATTCGACGGTTGATCAAATGTCTGTTTTTTTAACCCGCGCCCGGCTGGGGGTCCTGGATTTCCACGCCCTGCTGGGGGGGGGTGTTTGAACACCCCCCACTTCTAACTCGGCTCCTGGGCCACGTAGCGATACGCGGAAGGCGGTGTTCGAAAGAGCGCCAAAAATAATGACGAAATCACTTCGGTCGCTTTTTTGGTCAGGTCAAAGGTCAGGTCACCAGAGGTCATTGAGTGAAAAATTTCGCCGTTTTCCAGGTCGAATGTCGACAATTTCCAAGAAGCCAACGCATAGCTCGGGAACCAATAGAGCTACAGCGCCACGGAAAAGCGCATTCGATAGCCCTATTAACGCCCTTTCTGAGTAATTCTCTCAGAGTTGACCTAACGTCAACGGTTTTGCCTGCAGGGGGCAAAAACTGCCAAAATAGACGATTTTTCGGGAACAGTTTTTCTGCAATAACTTTTGACTCAAGCCTTGCACGAGCTTTCTTTTACCGACATCGTGTTCCTCTTGTCAAGACGCATCGAATGAACTATAATTTGACATTGAAAGTTCAACTTAAAACTTTGACCTCTGGTCAAGGTCATGATTTGACCGACCGGACATTGTCATGTTGCATATTAGTGAATCTGTATCGTCGAGGTGAACATATATATAAGGCGTTTTCATCGCTCTAGCATGCCTCTTTCAAAAGTTAGTCGCAAAAAAACTGTTAGATACCATTCGTGACCTGAGATGACCTTAGGGGCATAAACAGGGGTCACGGGTGCCGTTTTCATGTTCAGTGTGTCAAAGTTACTTGTAATGTAGTGTTTGAGAGTGTTTAGAATGACTTTCGTCCGAAAAAGACGGTTTTGAATTTTCTCCCATTGACTTATAATGCCTAGAGAGGTCGCAAAATTGACCCGACCTTAGGTCACCGATATGAAAATTCCGAATTTTGTACATACTGTTGCACTTATCAATTGCTGAAAGCTTCAAAGCGATCCGTCACTTGGTGTAGCTATGGCATACACTGAAACATTTTATGATGTGTTTATGAGGTGAGGTCACATGTAGCGACCTGGTGACCTGACCTTGAAGGACCCTGGTCTGAAATTTTCACAAAATGTATAAAATTGATAGATGATAAGGTGCCGCCGTTTTTCAGATATCCACGAAAAACCGCAGGGGGGGGGGGTGTGTTCAAAAACCTCCCCCCCCCCCCTCCCAGCAGGGCGCGGGTTAACACACTTTGACCATTTGCCCCAGTAGTCAAAATTCCTTAGCCGAGGCCCTGATTTACATCTTGCTGTCATGGCAGGATGCACAATTCAATTTTAGGCAGGCATTGAAAATTTGACGTTAATGGGATGATAAGGGCGTAAGATATCTGCGAAAAACAAGGGGTTGGCGAAATTCGCCCCCCCCCCCCCCCCCCCCCCGCTTGCACTGTGCATGTTGGTTGGCACGGTCCTGTCCCTTTTCATAAGGTTCAGGTATATAATATCCTTCACCAATATTTTTGGCGCTCCTACACCCATGCCTCAGCCACAAGCAGGGCGACTCAATCCAAGGTCTATATTACCCTTGGAACAGGTTACAGGACATAGGCGGCGGAACGGGGAGGGCACCGGGGCACCGTGCCCCCCCCTTTGATTTTGGCATTTTAACATTAGCCCTATAGGCGTTGCATGGAAAGAATGGGACCAAAAATCGGCAGTGCCCCCCCCCCTTAATTGAAGGTGTTCCGCCGCTACTGGAACAGGAGAACTAATTGGCTCTAAGTGATCGTCGTCATCAAACTTCCAGAGAAACATAAGCCACGTCGATCCCACTTTATGTTCCCATCACGTAAGAAACAATAAAATAAACAACAACCAGTAACGCATACAACACAACGCACACGTCATCAAAGCCTCTCAAAGTTCCCGAAATCGCGAGTTAGTCCAACTCCAATCATTGGGTGCCGTACAGCCCTGATCAAACTTCAGCCCGAAGCACAGAATGACATTACTTCAATGCAAAGAGCCACGGAGTGGCTCTTTTAGCCCTCAGCCCCACACTCCATCGAATCAAGAACACACAGGCCAGCAATACAAAGTCACCGAATGCCCGCCACCTTACCAAGGCGAAGTACGTGGCCAAACAAACGATAACAGAATCACGACCGGTGCAACAAACACGTTATTTCGTGCACAGAATCGACGCTGTGCACGCCGCACAGCGCACAAACGGGCCAAGTGCCGGATAATAGCGGGCACACAAATATCACCGTGTGGGTAAGTCAACCGGGTGATGCACAAAGCCTCAAGGTCGCACGCCCGTTGTGATCCGTTCCGTAAATGCAAACACATCCACTTAGGTCCAATCAGCATATTCAATTGCGCTTTGCAAATCATTCAATGCAATTGCCGAACGCATAACAACCAACCACAGAATAGAACAACGTAGGTACTAACCAATTCGTCTGCCATTCGTCTGTCATAGACACGCCAAGGCACTCAGATGTTAGTAGTGCTCAAGTCATCACACCAATGAATATCGGCGGATTGTTGGAATGGAACATCGTTAACCAGGTTTTCTTATTACAACCTGCATTCCCGTAAGGTTTCTTCTTCTAATTCAGAGTCCGTTCATCTTTGGACTTGGGTCTGAATAGAATAATGGAAGTGAATCGTAAGCTGACAAATAAATACGGGACGGCAAGCTCATCGCTAAGATGCCAACCTGGCGATTAAACCTCAGGTTCTCTAGGAAGGTCAGGTAGCAAACCCTACATCATGTTCTACCCTTCACTCTCGTTAGGCTGATTGCTAGATCACAGGGTCGGGTATAAACTGGTGGCACAGGTTTTAGGTTGTCATCGTCTATGTACGTTCACGACCGGTGTACAGGTCATGGTCACTAGTGGAGCTCGTACATGAGCTCGCAGTTTACGCATCGGGTCCCTAGTCTTGGCTCAATACAGGCCCAACAGACTTTGTCTATGACCCAGCCATTAGCCTAGCTCCAGGCTGAAGATACACTCTTGATCTACACATGTTGTCACTAATCGGAGTTTGCTTTCAGCGTAAGGCCGGTATATCATATACGCGTCGTCTCATTCAAGTCTTTACAAAGTCTTTCAGCGACGCACATATTCATCAATGAAACAAGCCGCTCACTATACGACGTTAGCAGCGTGTTCACCCTCAAGACGACACTGTCAACGATAGCAGTATCTGACCAATCACAGCGCTCAAACCGTTTGCTGCGGCTGTGAACTGGCGTTTGCGGTCGGCTGTCTGAATATCATCGAAGATATCTGTGGAAAAATCGTACACTTTTGTGAATACATAGTAAACATATGCATCATGCACACTGTGTTCCAGACTCGTAAGTGTAGTTTAATCTCATAAAACATGATTGTACTAAGATCAAATGTCATGTCTGATTGCACACCTATCGTAAGTTTACATACTTGAATAGCGATTTTCTCATATTTTCACCAAGTGGTTTACGCCTCGCCTCTACCTCAGCTCATTCGAGTTTACAGTCGTGTCGATTAATAAGTCATTTATGCATCCCTTTCTCAGCTCCCCAAAGCACAAACCCCTCCTCTTCACACTAAAACCATCCCTCTCTTTTTTTCTATCCCTATCCAGTCTACGCCACAATCCACATTCATGTCCCCTTTCACTCACATTTTTCATGACCTGTTCGCGCATGAAGTTGGACGTGACCGATCCGAACGAGGCCTGTAGACCCTGGGCAGCCCCGTACCGACACCGCACGTAGCCGTACACGTTGGCACCGTTCAGGGCTATTCCAATAATCGGTAACACCTGTGGAACACAGTCGGGGGCGGTTAGGGGGGGGGGTACAGAGTGTGTGTGTGGGGGGGGGGGTAGAGATGGGAGAGATTGAGCGTTGTGCGAGGCGAAGGAACGTGTTACTAGGTCAGTACGTTGTCGGTACGTTGTGATTTTGTGGCAAGTACAGAGGCCGAATTCGAGTAAAGGTTAACTAAAACAGCGCGACGATTACATTTTTTTTTAGACATTTCCGATGCTACGCTATTTTCTGCAGTTTTTTATTCACCTAAATTTCAATTGCATAAGTTCTGGTTAATTTAGTCAAATGGAAAAAGTAGATAATACAATGGATAAAGTGAAGAATTTCGTACCAAATATAATACAAAATATGCTATCGTAAGTTACCCTTGCTAAGAAATACAAGCACGCATCTCACATACCAATATTAGTATCTTACCTCACTCATCCAACAGCCAAACGTGCGTCTCAAATCTCACAATTTCCATTCCTTACTCACCGTTTTTACCCGTCATTCACATTTTCACTCGTAACTCACCATACTCACTTATTATTCAGTATTTTCACTCGACACTCACCGTTTTGACTCATCACCACCATGTTCAGTTCTTGCTCAATGCTCACCATTTTCTCACATCCCACCATTCTCGCTATGACTTCGAGTCACTGATGACTTCGTGAGTAGTGACTTACCATTTCACTCCTCACTCACCATTCTCATACCTCACTCACTCGATTCCCACGTGTAACTCACCATCCAGGCGTATCTCATTTTGAAGAAAGCGATCAGGAACAGCACCACCCAGATGACTGGCGAGGCGTACAGGGCTGACCAGAAGATACGTGACTCGCCGGCGTGGATCCGGTTCTGTGACGGGCCCTGGGTCAGTGTCAGTGTCAGAGTGACACAGTGCCAGCGTTAGTTAGTGTCAGAGATGACACGAAAGGCGTTAGTGTCAGGGTTACTGTCAGAGTGATACAGTGTCAGTCAACATGAGTTAGTGTTAGAGATGACACTATAGCTCTGTAGTGTCGAGGATAATATATCCTAGGAGGATGACAGAGGAAGTGTCAGAAACGACACAATAGGTGTCAGTGTCAGAAACAACACAATAGGTGTCAATCAGGTATGACACAATTATAGGTGTCAGTGTCACATACGACACAATAGCTTCAGGTGGCAGTGTGCCAGGGTTAGTGTCTAAAGGAACAGTTTCACCGTGGGTCAGAGATGACACGAGGAGTGTTTCTAGAGTGCGATTCAGTGATATGTGCATGAATGTATACAGTATACACACACAAAAACACGTCACACCACAATTACGCAACAAAAAAAAAGTTTCACAGCCGGGTGGTATTGTTACGTAGCATCGCTGGTTTTCAACCAGGCTCACCAATGTGAAGTTGAGATGGATAAACTGACTAAAAGAATGAATATTTAGCGTTGAACTGAATCCTTACCTACCTTCAGCCTGGAGCAAGTCTAATGGCTAGATGCAAATATAAAGAAGTCTGTTGAGCCTGTACCATGGATGAAGTTCCACGCCTGTACTGAGCCAAGACTAGTGACCCGATGCGTAAAGCCCGACCGAGGAAGGACTGCTAAATTTGAGAGTCACTGAACCATTGACCTGGGGGACGGATGAGGATGTCAAATGATTCGGTGACCCTCAAATCTAGCAGCCCTTCCTCAGTCGGGATTGATAGATCCACCGCACCGATGCACGACACTTTCAAGATTGTACTTGTGCCTACCTTCCTGCTCTCATAGATCCAGTGACTGATGCCCTCGTCATCCACGTAGTTCCACCATCGAAGGCCCACCATCAGGCGACCTGGAGGCACGCAGCACAGGTCACGCTGGGTCAGAGAGGTGATTGCGGTTTAGAATCACCGCGGTCAGCGCCACAGTTCGACGAAAAACGCATTACCTGAAAATAAGCCAACGGAATAAGAAGCAGTGAAGGAAAAATAGTAAAGAAACTGACGCTTTTTGCTACTTGCAGGTAAGTACGGTCTAAATAGTTGCATTGGAGTGGGAGTGAGGTCACGAGGATCAAGTCCATGCAAGAGATGAATGCATGAGATGTTGCAAAAAGCATAAGCAAAATCGCCTTCAGAGGATCTCACGCTCATTCACAGCACAGACCAACAAAAATCCTGTCATGTCAAGGCTGCAGTGCAATGCGAGTCCCATATCACTTCTGACAAACACACGTATAAAAAATACCACGAAATGCGCTGGGTCGATTAACATTGCACTACCAATTATGCTCACCTGTGATATTCTTCACTGTCCAAAAGTCTGCCGACAGCAGCATCACGATCATGATGAAGCTGGTGATGAAGCCCATCCCGAAGACTGCACACAGCATGTACGTCAGGATCGCGCCAAAGCGGAACAGCAGGTGGAAAAGTGTGACGAACGGATGTCTGCCAGAGAAAGACAGTTGCCAGTTAATTATGCATCAGAAAGTGGATGCAACACACATTATTTCCAATTCTGCCAAGCTGGGGACCAAAAGAGATGATGATGAAAGCAAATATCTGTAAAAGAAAACATCTTTTAGCACTACAACTTACTTGAGCTTTCCTTTGTCTTCATTCTCCTCTCCAAAAGCAAGGGTATCATCATCATCTAGTAGAGGTGCCTGAAAAAGACAAATGTCAATTGGTTATCTATTTCACAATATTGCAAAGAGCCAACAGGCCTTGCATGCCAAGGGGAGACAGCACCTTTGACCTGATCTTAACTGGCCATGTCAATGTGGCATTAAATGAAAAACATTCATTTTGGGATTGCTTTGAATGTGTTTAAGAGACACCCTTTCAATGGCTCAATGCCACGTGGAATGTTTCATTACCGTGATTATGGATGCATACATGTATGTATGAGCATGCATTACTATCATGGACAATCCATGCACACATGGCATGGTGATTACCACCCACAAAACAGAGATGCATAAACAAAACAAAGTGAAAAGAAAAACAATGCCAACAACCCAGACTATGAAGCATAGCAATCTGGAGTCTTGTACAAAATATCATTGTTGCGGAAGCACTCAACTGGTGAACTGTGCAGTGTTTGTGGTGGAACCATCAAAATTGAATAGTAGTAAAGCGGGCATTACACTTGGTTTTGCAACTAAGGAGAGGCGTTGTAGGTTAGGCTGTAGGTTGTAGGTACAAGGTTGTGGGTTTTAGGTTATAGGTAAGGTTAGGTCAGATTTGGTTTGGGTTGATTTGATTAGAAAGCATCTCTGGGTACAGCGCTTCTCCTTGGTTGCAAATAACAAGTGTGACGCCTGCTTTACCACCACCCAATTTTCTAGGTTGATACATTGACATGGCTTGAGACAATATAATGATGTGGTTTTCATGGAATGTTGAGCCTAGGATGCAAAATGAGGGTTTCATCCATGCAGTCATTAAAGGACTATCCGTATCCCACCTTCTAAAATGTTGTTAAAACCAGTTAAATTGTGCCCGACTTTATAGATTGGATGACCAGGAACACGGTTCTGGCATTTATTTTTCATTAAACATCTTAGGCTTCCCATATTCCAAACACAAACTTTCAAATATGTGACGTCACAGCCCAAAATTACCTCCTTCCCCAGGCCACATTACTGTCATAAAGCTGATTCTTTTTACTCTGTAGGCACCACAACAAAGTTCAGACCAAGTTTTAAGCGATTTTTCAACGAACAAACCCATTTAAATCAGAATGACAAAACGAGGTGACGTCACACTAACAGTCGCTCTATGTTGAAGATAGGGCCTTGTACAAGGCCCATTTTCAAATGAAGGGAACGAATTTCTTCAACACCAAGAGGCCGCGGGGGTTGCAACCTAGATAGATAGTGGTTTCTGAAGCTCGCCGCAAACTTGGCTATCTCAACTCAAACCCCATGTTAAAGGTGGGATAGTCCCTTTAACTTGAACCAAGTTGCCCGAGGCACATTATTTATGGACACAGATGTACACTTCTTTTTACCAGTTCCAAGCTACTGCCATTTCAGTAAAAGATGAACGGAGCTGTCACGACACAATAAGCTTAGTATATTATGCATTTATACTCACATTTGATGCCATTTTTTAAGAATAAGGTATCGTATGACGCACTCTGACTCCCTGTCCTGATTCCTAGTTTCTTGGGCAAAAAGAATAGTTGGTGAAGGAAATCCAAAACGTTAGAGAAGTTCAACAGCCAATTTACAGCAACAACGCCTCGTAATTACAGCAAATAAACAAGAATAACCACATCATCATCACATCACACCCCTCGCTCTTTTGTTGACGTTTACAATTCAGCAGCTGACTGATAAAAAGGAAATTTTTGCTGACGTAAAAATAGCATTGCCAGCATTTAAACGGCTTTAATGCATGATATGTTGTAAATAGGTATTTGATTTGCTGGAAAACAAATTATATGATCAATTTTACACAAAATAGTAAACTGAATACATATGTTTTCTTTCTTGCGTCATTTACGAAGACTCGGTCGTCGGGCGAGTCGATGAACTCGTTTGTCGGAAATGCGCCGTTTTTGCAAAAACCGTCTCTGGTAGTTTAGGAAAGGCACAAATAATTACTATTTGCTGTCTGTGCTGTGCTATACGGCATTGGCTGGGTCTAAATATGTGCTAAATGGTAAATTTATTTACTCTCCTGCTTTGCCCTTGCTAGCACCTTCAGCTGCGTAGGTAAGTACTTACTTGCAATAAAAAAGTTTCAGAATCATATGTCAATTTCCGTCCATATTTTTTTAATTTCCGTGGTTGTTCACGTATTTCACATCCTGATCCGTTTGTTGTCTTGAACTGTGTTACTGTACGTGAGCCTAGGCCTGAGCGAGTCCGTATATCGTTTTTTTTTTAATGAATAACCTAACTTGTACGGTAGTGCAGCGTAGTGAATAGGCCGTGACATGTAGCATCAGGGCCTCGGCTAACATGTTAACTACTGGGGCAAATGCCCCAGTAGAGTCGAGGAATGCCCCAGTAGTGGTCAGGCTTTGCCCAACCTCCACAAAATGAGAATATATCAATATTAACGTACATTCTTTAATTCGGGAGCAGTTGAAGACGTTTGTGGCAAGAAATCAGGGGCGGTGGAAGAGGGAGTGCACGGTGTGGAGCTGCACCCTCAATTTCCATCCAAAAACATAGGCGTGCATTGGCAAACATATCTTTTTGCACCCCATAACCCATCTTCGTTCGAAAGAGCGTCAAGAATAATGACGAAATAACTTCGGCCTCTTTTTTGGTTAGGTCAAAGGTCATGTCATGGTGCAGGCCAAATTTCTCCGATTTTCAGGTCGAATATCGACAGTTTACAAGATGCCGACGCATAACTCGGAAACCAATTAGAGCTACAGCACCGCGGAAAAGCGCATTTGATAGCCATATTAGCATGCTTTCTGGTTATTTCTCTTAGATTTGACCTAACGTCAACGATTTTGCCTGCAAGGGGCAAAAACCACCAAAATAGACGATTTTTCGGGAACAGTTTTTCTGCAATAACTTTTGACTCATGCCTTGCACGAGCTTTCTTTTACCGACATCGTGTTCCTCTCTACAAGACACATCAAATTAACTGCAATTTGACCTTGGATGTCAACTTGAAAATTCGACCTCAGGTCAAGGTCATGATCTGACCGGAAATGGTCATGTTGCATATCAGTCGATCTGCATCGTCGAGCCAAACACAACTAAAGGCCGCCCCACACCGGACCTCGCATGCGGGTTGCGAGTTTTTGGGTTTTCGGGTTTCTTCAAAATTAAATAGTACAATATATGCTGAGTGACCCACACTACCATCGAACAAGCGAATCTGCATGTTTTTAGCTTGCCAGCCACCTTGCATCGCAATACAAAAGTTGATTTTGAGTCAGCTTTCGATTTTCCTCGCTGCGAGGTCTGTGAGTTCTGCGAGGTTTGCGGGTTTTTCGTTGAAAATTTAGGTTCGTTGTGCTGGTTTTGCGACTATATATGCAATTTTCTGAAGGTGTACCGGCTTCACTGCATTCATGAAGTTACCATAAGGGAACAGTCTAATTACTCTATGAATGAGTATTATGCCCGTAAAATCAAAACCCGCAAACTCGCAACCCGCATGCGAGGTCCGGTGTGGGGCGGCCATAAGGCATTTTCATCGCTCTAGCATGCCTCTTTCAAAAGTTATTCGCGAAGAACTGTTAGATACCATTCGTGAACTGAGATGACCTCAGGGGCATAAACAAGGGTCACGGGCGCTATTTTCATGTTCAGTGTGTCAAAGTCACGCACAATGTTTTATAGTGTTTAGAATAACTTTCGTCCAAAAGAGGTGGTTTTGAATTTTCTCCATTGACTTATACCTAATAGAGGTCGCAAAATTGAGCTGACCTTAGGTCACCGAAATGAAAATTCCGAGATATAAATTTTATACATGCCGTTGCCCTTATCAATCGCTGAAAGTTTTAAAGCGATCGGTCACTCGGTGTAGCTACGGCATACATTGAAACATTTTATCCGAAGGTTGGGACTTTTCAATTAAGAACTATCACTATTCTTTAGAATTGTGATTTTCTTTTGAAAATCCCAACCTGAGCTACCTCCCTAGGGGGTGTTTAGCGTTTCGGCCGCGATTTTGGACATCTTGATACCCTCGAAAACGGCACGGTAGAATTTCTTGCCATTTTCAGCGTTTGGTCCCGTATCGGGAAGCTACCGGCTGGCATCGGTCGCTTGAAATATAATTAACCCGTTTTTATGAGGTGAGGTCACTTGAAGTGACCTGGTGACCTGATCTTGAATGACCTTGGTCTGAAATTTTTACAACACGTGTAGAATTGATAGATGATGGAGCGCCGCCGTTTTTTAGATATCCGCGAAAAAACGGCAGGAAAACCCGCAAGTGTTCAAACACCCCCCCCCCCCTCCCAGCAGGGCGCCAACACACTGACGATTTGCCCCAGTAGGCAAAATTCCTTAGCCGAGGCCCTGTGTAGCATTGGTTTTGATTTCGTTAATTGGGGGGGGGGGGGTAGGTAGGCTTGGGTAGGTAGGTCAGCAGAGCTGGGCATTGCGCAACTTAAGTCCGCAACTCCGCAACTCCGCAACTTGCGGACTACCCTCTTGGTAGCGGAGTTACGGATCGGCTTCCGAGCCCAAAAAAGGTGCGGAGTTGCGAGTTGCGGAAGCGAAAAATTCTAAAGCGCAACCGCTACCGGGGCCGCCACCGCCGGTGGGGGCGCCACTGCACCCTTTGCACTGCACTGCACACTGCACGTGTTTCCAGGCTAGTTTTTGAAGCTGATTTGGAATTTAATAACCGTTTGAACGTTAGCAAAGTAGTTTTAGTGCCTTCGTAACATGTTACAATCTTTCAGTGGTGGTTGACACTACTGGATAGCCGGTAGATCAGCGCCCCGAAAAAAACATAACAGCTTCACTTTACGAAGTTCTAGCAGGTCCAATGTTCCCGACTTTTGGGTCAATGACCTGGCCTGGAAGGTCAACCAATGACCTAGGACCTTAAAATTGGGTATCATCGGCTTCCTCTCGTCACGGGCAACACGCTCGTTTTTTCCGCGAAGCTCTAGCTCGATCAGGGGCCAAACGGCAAGGGGGGGGGTCCAACCGATCCCCCCACCCCCACCCTACACATTAGAAGCTGGCAAACGCCGCACACATGCGAGGGTTAACCCTCGCCCGTATAGGGGGGGGGGGTCGAACGGACCCCCCTCCGTTTTTCGCGAATAACTCGCGTAAAAAGCGGCCGATCGCGGACGAAACTTTCCGTACCCTCGCGTTAATCAATTTTACACCTACCCTGAAATTTTCATGACCCTGACCCTAATGACCTTTGACCTGTGACCTACTTTTCGAGACCATGTTTGGCCGGAATCGCGATTCGGTGTATGTCGGCTCGCATTAGCCGCGCGTTTGCAGTCTTTTCGTGGTTTTAAGCGTTCAAACATGGGATATGATGTTGCTCCCATGCATAAGGGTGGGTGTCAAGGTCACCGGAAGGTCAGGTCAGGTCACTGACCTTTGATGACCTCGGCTCACTTTTTCGAGTTTTACATGTTTCTAGGCCAGTTTTTGGAGCTGAATTCGAATTTAGCAACCATATGAACATTTACGAAGTAGTTTTGGTGCCTTCGTAACATGTTACGAAGCTGTCTGAGGCGGTTGCCACCTACTACGAATACCCTTACTGGTTGACCTGACCTGACCTGACCCGACCTGGCCTAAATGCATGAAACATCATCTGTGATCAAAACTAACATGATATTCGTGAGCAGCACCCTGAAAAACCCCATAGCAGCCACGCTTTACAACTTTCTAACAGGGCCCGATTTTCCCGACTTTTGGGTCATTGAGCTGACCTGGAAGGTCAACCGATGACCTGGGACCTTAAAATTGGGTATCATCGGCTTCCTCTCGTCACGGGCAACACGCTCTTTTTTTCCGCGAAGCTCTAGCTCGATCAGGGGCGAAACGGCAAGGGGGTCCAACGGACCACCCCCCCCCCTTATACGTTCGCGGCTGGAAAAACACCAATACGGGCGAGGGTTAAGTCGACTGGTGTCGCAATGACCTGCGCATTGAGCATTAGAGGTCACGTGACGTCATCAGAGGTCACCAACAGTCAGGTCACCAACAGAGGTCAACCAAAGGTAGTACAAAGGTACCTGTCCAAAGGTAGGGTGAATAGGTCAAAAACGCCCCCCTTAAGCGCGAAACCTTCTGACACTCAACCCAACACAGATTACTTAAACCTTTGGGCACCATCATGTAGCTCATTCTTTTTACTACGTTTTGAGACCAAGAAAAGACACCTGCGTGAGGTATTTAACCCCCCAAAAAGGTTTTCGCATACCCTTGCAAAAGGGCGTTTTGCCCCATACCCTGGGTAATACGCCCACACCCATGTGCAAAGCGCCCCCACCCCATCTATCAACAGAAAATGATGAACATGGCAGAACTTGACGTCATTCTGACGTCATTTGTGGTCAACCTATCATAGCCTTTGGAATAAAATTTTGTTGCAATGTGTAAAATGGATGCCCGGAGGAGTCCTGAAAGTTTGGTGACGATATCTGCAGTCGTTTAGGATATATCAGCAAAAAAGGACAGGGAGAGGCCTTTTCGGCCCCGACCTACAGGGCGCTACCCTGCACTCTCACCACCGTGCAAAACGCCCCCCTTTCAGAAAACTGGGGGCGTCTTGCCCCATGCATCGAGTAGGCGTCTTGCCCCATCCACTCCATTTCCGGTCAACAAAATATTGACAAAAAACGCGCCACTAACGCCGCAGCATAATATATTCAACAGAATGACAATAAAACGCAGTTTTGAGTGATGTGCACAATAGCAAGTTTTGTGATATAAAGAGGGCATCAAAATATTAGGAATCTTCTGTAAAAACAACAAAAACAACACCCAAAACCAACATCAGCACCTACCCACGCTGCTCCTCAAGACTCAGAACCGGAA